GGGCTGAGAGAATTTTTCAAAATGAAAACCCTCTTTCTTCTGCTCTTAGTTGGATGTTATAGATTGAATAGTGAGAAGCAAGAAAAGAAATCACTGTCAATCCTCCTTTCTGCAATCCCTGCCCCTGGTCACTACTTGAATTTTATAATTTTGGGAAATGCATTGAAAGAACAAGGTCACAATGTCACCCTTCTTATGCTTCAGTTCAAAGATTATAACAAACCAAAGGAGCTCTGTGAGGAACGTGGACTTTACTACATTCCTATACCAGTTAATGTTAGTTATCATGATTTTAAAGCAAAAGTCAATAACAATGATTTAAAAAGCTTTGTGCAAGTTTTATCAGGTACGTTATATAGTTTTTTTTCCTCGATGAGCTCTTTCATTTCAAATGAACTGGATACCTCTGAAATAGACATTGTTGTCACTCAAGAATTTTTGATGGGAAGTTTTCTTTGCACAATGAATGAGGATCTACCAATTATTTTTGTGTCAGCAAGTGTTCTTATTGATCCTTCTCTGCTACCATCATGGCCTTTTCCACATATAGCATTTTCTTCCATTACTCATGACACATCCATTACAGATCGTTTTATGATAACAGCTGCTAGGAATTTTCTATTAGCACCAATCCAAAAATTAATTGTTTGGTATATGTCTTCATATAATCCAGAATGCTGGGAGAGGAAATATAACTATTACTTACCTCCAGGCCATGCTGCTCCTTATATTGCAGCAACAGTTATTGGGTTTGAGTATCCAAGAACAAATCTTCCATTAGTTGATTATGTAGGTCCTTTTATTCCAAACACACTTGATCCTCTACCATCCGATATTGATTTGTGGCTGAAGAGTAAAAAAGAAAACAGTGTAGTGTACATTTCAATGGGTAGCATTCTCACTGGATCTCAGAAATTTGCGGAAGCACTTTACAATGGCATACCTAGTAACTATTCAGTTTTGTGGTCTGCTACTAATAAAACCATTCTAAAAGGCATTGAAAATGAACTAAATAATAATCGTTTCCTCATTAAGAGCTGGATACCACAGATTAGTGCATTGAATCATTCATCAATATCATTAGCTATTCTTCATGGAGGAGCAGGAGGAGTACACCAAGCACTCTATTTTGGAATACCAATAATTGTCATTCCATTGAGCCCTGGAGATCAATCAAGTAATTTTTCTGAGTAAGCACATGTATCTCCTTTTTGTTTATAGGTAATGCTGTT